AGAAACACTATTTTGTCATGTCGGGGTCCCAGTGCCCTGGCTGCAGGTCTCTGGAAAGGCTTGGCCTTTGCTCCTGTGACCCTTTGGCTGAGCTACTGGGCCGAAAATGCCTGGGATCAGCGCAGGCTGACCAGGCTCAAAACTGCGAAGAGAAAGCTCAAGGCGTTCATTGAGGCACTGCTGGTGTCCTGAGTAGCCGCTTCACACGACATGGCAAGAAGGTCAGCGGTGTTGACAACCCCGATGCCCTGACGCTGAAAGTCGATAATGGCATCTGACTCGTTGGCATAGCTTGTGGGAGTTCCCCAGATTCCAGCGGAGGCATCCATGATGATGCTTGCCTGATATCCAAGAAACACGGCATCCTGGACCGTCCATCGAACGCAGTGGGTGGTAGCGATGCCTGCAGCATACACTTCGGTCACGTTGTTCTGCTTTAGGACCGCATCCAAGTCGCTCATGTAGTTCCTCGTGTTGTCCATAAATGCACTGAACATCTCGATGTACCGGTGACCTTTCTGGACGATGATGTCACTGTTCTTCGACACCACGTTGGGCGACAGCGTAGAATCTCCGCTCTCAAGGCAGTGATCTAACCAGAGATCCATAGCCATGCCGAAGCATTGGTCTGGAGACTCTGCGCAAAGGGTGCATGCCGGATTCCCGTTGAGCATGGGATTGGTAACATTGTTGTAGAAGCCGGCCGGAGGGCAGTACTCAAAGGGAGGGTTGCAGGTGACGGAGGAGCTGTTCACGTAATACTGCGGGCAGCAGGCCTCGTTGCTACCTCCATTCTTGATGCACTGCATTGTCCTGCCAACGCGCCGGAAATGAGATGTACTTTAAAACCAACCCATTTGCAGACTAAAGATCCCGCACATAGATGCTTCCACTTCATGGGATTATGAGAGTCAGGTCGCACACCGGTGCTCAGAAAAGCCAAGGGGCATGCCCCCTCGCCAGGAGTTAGACATCGCCGCGTTGGGGGAGTCCTCCCGGTTGCAAGGTCTCTCCAGGCCCGGACATGTGCTGGCCTATACCACATGTCAGGGAGTAGCAGAATGAAATCTGAAAGCCTTGCACTGTTTCGAAGAGTCACAAAGATAGAAGTTTGAAAGCTACTTGGAACCCTTGCGGTCCGGGGCCATGCCGTGAGCGGTCCCGAAGGAGATGTGGCCAGCTGGATGGTAGTCCTCAGCACATGGTCTCTGACAAACGGGTGTAGGAGGGCTGTGAGGATTTCAGGGGGGTTTTCACTGCCCCTCCTGAGTCTTCACCACAATATCGAAGAGGCAATCCTTCTGGTTGCGGATCTCGTTGAGCTTCGGGATGATCTGCGACGCGACGACCGGCAAGCTGCCATTTTCCAGGAAGCACTCCTGGGTGTCCACGATGATGAAAGCCCTCTTGGCCTCCAGACCAACGAGGGAGAGGCACGCCATGGCATACTTCAGGGCCATGGCGACCGGGAAAAGGCTAAGGCTGGGCCCGCGGGTCGATGGTATCTCGAGGATTCAACGCCTGCAAGAACCTCACCAGACGCAGCGAACCTTTCAACGGCAACGCACTCAACAAACGAGTAAGTGCCGGAAGAGCAGATCCTGACTGCACCGATGCTTGCGCAGCGATCGATGTAGATGCTTGCGGATCGTGCGCTGGGACATACGGGACTCGTTGCTATGAGACTGTGAAATGTGTTCCAGCTGAGATGTGTTGCCAACAAGAGAACATGCTGAGGTAAGGCTCAACCATGCATTTGCAAGCTTGTCGATCCCAAAGCGGAAGTCTTTTGCCGGGGCTCCGGCTTGAAATCAGCCGCCAAATCATCTTTGTTGGCGGGCTCCTGCAATCAGTCACAAGATGGGACGTGGGCGCGCATGGCTCAAGCTGCATCCACACAAGCTCAACACAAAAACACGATCCATGCCGGAGCAGCAATTGAGCAAGGTAGCACCGACATGAGCACCAGCCACCAGCAGCACAAGCAGCACCAGTACAGCAGCAGCACCACTACCACCACCACCTCCATGAGCACCAACACCAGCACATCTCCAATTTCAAATCTTCCACTCTCGACAGAGATAATTCTGCAATGGAACCACAGTCTTAACACCGCCCACCTGACGTGCCGAACCCCATTCACCGCCACGCCTGTATGAGTTGCTTCGGAGTGTGCTGCATGGCACCTTGTCGCAGTCTGGAGACTACGCATTTTCAGAAGCAGGCTCTGAGAGCATGGAGTTTGGTTGCATCTGACTGAGGCTTTCCTCACGACTGGAGTGTAATGCACGGCATTATGCTTCATGTCCCATGTTCTGCAAGATGGGACAAGATGGACCATTCCATCTCCCACGGCGCGAAGACCACTCGGAACCAACTAGCAGCTAGCATCTCAAGTCGAGGGAGAACTCAGGGTCCCAGGACTACTCAAACGGCAAGTTCGGAAGGCAGCAGAACAAGTCTCCGGCACACCTCGCCTCACACAACCGAAACAGGTCCTGTCATGCATCAAACGCCCAGCGACTTATCAGCAGTCCCGACGGGCCCTCGGTCGTGTCCATCGGGGCAGCGTACCTTGGGATGACCAGTCAACATGGAGCACTCAACATATCTCATTGCTTGCACTGGTCGCACGTTCCTCAACCAAAGGCTCGACAGGACTCAGAGACTTCTGATCAGCTGAGGCCACCGCGGGCTCCTGGGCTCCGCAACGCTCGTGGCGATCGATACGTCCCCTTCGAGCGTTTGCAGATGTGTGCCCGCCAGAGGTTCCGGACTGAGGGCTTCAGAGTTTGCAAGTAGAAGTTTAGCAGTGAGATCGGTCTATCGCGAATGCACTACGACTAGGATTTGCCACGCAGTGCAATTGAGCACAGTCTGTCTGCTTGTCTCCACGAGGTTGAACGTTCTCAACACAGACTCCGTGCTAAGTTAAAATGTGAGCTTGCCGGGCTCGGCCAGCAGAAGAACTGCAATGAACTGCATTGCACTAGCCTGCCATGAGAATTGAAACTCGATGGAGGGGCATAGTGATGGATGCAGGACCACTTACAAACTAGCAGCACAACCGCTGGGCGGGCAACCTCCGTCCACACCTGAACGGCTTTCCAGAACTCGTGTCGTGCTTTGTACTGGGTAAGGAGGCGGTGCAGTGTCAAATTGAGGAACATACGCTGCCCCGCCTGACAGGAATCTGTCTCGGAAGCTACTTACGCTGCCGTCCTCGTTCGTCTGGATTTCTGCCTCCGGCGTGGACCATGCTCTAAAACTTATAAGCACAGACCGGACGACTAGGAGTGGCCTTGCCACAGTCCCTACGCTCGCCCAACCACAATTCCGAGTTCTGATATCCGATACAACCAGACATCGCGGACCTCTTGCATCCATCGAACGCAGTCCTACACCCGAAGGCTACCGACACGCCCACAGCTGCTGACCTTGAAAGCCAGGACAATCCCCCAACCCTGATCTCTGTAGCCGCCACCCGGTCGTCGGAGGTCTCAGCAAGTCGCTGGGGAGCAGATTTCGAGCGCTGCACGGGGCCGTCCTCCAAGTGAGTGTTTGACAAAAGTCAATCCCTACGTAGAGGCCGATAGCAAAGTCACCAGTACGGCTTCTTGGACAGGCGTCGGATGATTGGGAATCGAAGCAATGAACAAAAGAATGGGAACAGGAATGGAGGTGTGGAGGCTTGAATCAGGCACCATTTCTCCAGACGGCGACGTGTGACGGAGTTCTAGTCGTCTCCTCCTTTTTGTAAGAGTAGGCGTGGTTTTGCACTGGTCTCGGGGCTTCTGGCTGCACTCGCAAGCTCTACAGCAACCTGCCAGCATCGGAACTGGGTACAAATTCTCGTAGACTAGCTCCAACTTGCCAGCATTCTCCACAGCATCAACAGTCATCAGTGACATCTACTGCTACTGCTACTGCTACTGCTACTGCTACTGCTGCTGCTGCTACTGCTACTACGACTACCGTCCGACTACCACTACCGCGACCACGACCACCAACACCAACACCAACACCATCACCATCACCACCACCACCACGACTACGACGGCGACTACGACTACGACTACGACTACGACTACGACTACGACTACGACTACGACGACTACTACTACGACTACTACTACTACTACTACTACTACTACTACTACTACTACTACTACTACTGCGACTACGACTACGACTACGACTACGACTACGACTATGACTACGACTACTACTACTACTACTACTACTACTACTACTACTACTACTACTACTACTACCTTTACCACTACTTCCACTACTCACTACTACTGCCGTAGAATCCTACAGCTCAGCCACGTCCATGCGCCACACCTCTGAAGCAACAACCTTACAAGCCCTTGTGAGAGTGGGTCCTGATGCCCACCTCTCTCGTCGAGGAAGCCGTTCTTTACAACCTCGTTTGCGATTGCTGAAAGAAAGGCGGGAGAGAGGCCCGCGAAACTCTGAGGATTGGGCGATGGTGGGCCCACCATCCAGCTGACGGTGGTACGTCACCGTCGTCGCCTTGATGCGGAGTGGCGCTTTGTAGCTCACACCTGCCTTTGCATCTCTTTTTTATGGCTTTCTGATTTCTGAGGCGAGCACTTGGCTCATGGCTCTCTCGCAGCTGCTTCGCAGGGGGACAGCTCGACACCGTGGGGCTCTTAGCCCACACCCACAGCTACTGACAGAGCCATTGGCCTTCTGCGGCGGCACGAGGCGTGTTGAAGCAAAAGTCTGCATCAAATTTTCCATCCTTTAACACATGGCCTGAGAGTCTTCGGCCCACAAGCTTGAATGAACAACCATGGCACTGATTTTCATCCCGTCGAAAGCCATGCGAAGGCTCACAACAACAAGAAAGCACCCAACGGCACTCCTTTACGAGCTCAAACCCTGCAGTCATGCAACCCTTCCAAACTACCAATTGTTAGCCAATCCTCACGCCAATGTGCCAGAAGATGTGCTGCAAATGGGAATCGCACAGAGTACTCGCCCAGGAAAGTTGCGCGTGACTGTCCTGCCAAGTCTCGGTAGCCCAACGGGGCCTCAGCATCATCTGCATTTGAGGGACCAAGCTTTGACCTCAATTTGAGTGACCGTCGGAGGCTCGCACCTGTGCGGCGTGAACCACTCCAGCCAGCTCCGGCAGTTGCTGCATTACAGCCTCCATGGCCTCCACTCAGCGAAGCTATGAGCCGTCCACAACAGAATGGGGTCTCTAGCTTGTATTATATACCTTGGCCACACTCCATGTCCTTTGGTTTATGAGAGTCGTACTATAGTCAGTGTGTCCGGGTGGAACAACCGAAGCACTTGCTTGAAAGAGACACCGGATTCCGGCAACCCCGTTCAAAGTATTCAGCTGCCCTGCCGATATGACTTTCGAATCGCAGGGCCGGGGGCGTATCAAAGTGCCTGAAAGAGCTGAACAGCTGAAGAGTGAAGAGGACTTTCACAAAGAAGCTGCCTCCAGGTTGGACACGTCCGCGCGAACCCTGAAGCAGAATCAAAGGTCAAGGCTATGGTGACACTTTCTTACGTCGGATTCCTGCCCGGAAACTTCGCCCCAACTCCCGAAGACGCAAACGCACGGCAGCTGTCTGCAGGAAGATCCGTTGAGGCACCGGCTAGTTTCTGATCTGGGGTCTTCGGGACTTCATGCTTTGCTGATTGGAGCGCAATGATCCACAACTCAACATCATCTCGCTGTCCAAAATGTGCTCAGGTGTCCCGTCAAAGCCTTATACTACTGGAGACGAACCATTTGCCGACCTCTGCAGCTTTCTCTGCAGTCGACCTGCCGGTGGCAATTGAGGATTCCGCCGCTGAGGACTCCGCCCCTCAGTTTTAACAATTTCATACAGTAGCTGCTGGATCCCAAACCGCCCACCTTCATAAAGCACGATGTCGACTCTCGGAACCGCTGATCTCGTTTATGAGCTCCGCTTGAAACCGTCCAGATGATTTGGTCAGTTCGACGCAAAGGCCCGGCTGACCCACTTTCCAACTCGAGAAAGAGAGTCCCGGGTGCGCTCATTTAGAGTCTAGAGTTCCGGGCAGCGTCCATCTATCCATCCATCATCAACCGTTACTTCTGTAAACGTTTCTACAATTCCATACACCATTCAACAAACCTCTCCATAAACCGTTACCCTCGAAGATCATGCATCCCCTCCCTGTACTGACGTGATTCCAGATTCAAGACACAGCCCAAATGCTTCCCCCCAGGTACACTGACGGGATTCAGAGACGCAGCCAAACCCCCCAAAGCGCCTCAGCACAATGTCACACGACTCAAACGCTCTCTTGGTGGGATTCAATTGGGATCCAGGAGCAGCACCACAAGAGCATCACCGAGATGTGCCGCGTGAGACGAGAGCTTTGCCGTTTCAAGATCAACAAACATGGGGGCGGTGAGTTGGGATTTGGCAATCGCGCTTACCGGACGACGTAGACACGCCCGGTCCACGCAGAGGGTTGTCAATTCCGAACACATATCGAAATGGCACCGCACTTGTAGTGCAGTTTTATTTCACGTCACCAAACCTGCAGGCATCCAAACAGGGTTGCCCGATCCGAGGACGAATCGTGACGGCACCACGTTCAGAGAAAACTTAGGCGAGGCAACTCCCGCTAGTCTGTGCGTGGAAAGGTACCTGTACTAGACCAAATAAGCGACGAAACCCCAAAGGTCGACATGAGCCAACCAACCTCGCGAAAACCTCGTCTTGGCTAACATATGACATCATGCCATGCAACCTCACGGCAATGTACACAACCTCGCAGCAACATCATCACATCAAGATCATCACATTACGCCATCCGGCCATGACATCCAACATCACCTCTACCGAAACTTCGCCACGCTTACGGGAAAAAGAACTCAAGAACTATGGCGTGGCCTTCCAGTTCCTCGAAGAGCGCATGCTCCTCAACCCAAAGTGTCGGGGCGTTGGGAGACATGTTTAAGAGCTTGCGGCTGCTTCCGGCTATGCAGTTAAGTCACAACGTAGGGAATCCGTGGCTGCATGCGACCTAAACGGTCATTTCCTGAGACGATCTCTCTCGAGTGCCCTCCCGGTCCCCGCTGCTCTACGAAAACATTGAACAGTTCCCAAACCCACGCGAGGCGCCTGCTTTGCTATGACTCCTCGCCGGGAGAGGAGCACCAGGCCCTGTGGACCCGAAAGCATTCGGCACTTGGAAACGAGTGCATCGGGTGGCCTGGCGAACTTCAACTCCTTACACTGTATACAAGCTATGCGCGCATGCGCTTCTACGCTGACCGAGGCCATCTCTGGTTCAAGACGACACTGATCCCTTGTACATTTAGACGCTCGACACCTGAAAAGATCCGAGCTCAGCCTCCGCCTGCCGTGCCAGAGCCTGTGCAGCCAGCAGGCCGATTCCTCCAATCGAGGGCAGGTCCCGGGGAGAACAGAGTCAAGAGTTGAAGAAAGTTCAATATGTTCAATCTTGGTCAGTTTCAAGATGTTTCAAGTTCTTCCAGATTTCCGGTTTCTGTGCAGTATGTATTCTTCGTGCCTGCTCCAGGCTCTTTCCGAACATTGCCGAAGCGCGAGCTCCCGAACGTTGCCCAACCTCCTGTGCCACCGGAAACCAAGTGCCAACCGCGCAAAGGAGGCCACGGCCTCGGGGAGGCAAAGTTCTGCGACTTATGTCTTTCTCGTTCTCTGCTCGGTGATGCCACGCTCGATCACCGAAGTCACAAGAGCGAGACATGTCGACGCTGCGACTCTTATGTAGTTGCAGAGCAAGTGTGAGAGACATGTCGAATCGAGCAAACTGAACATGTTCACGTGGCAGCATTTTGCGCAGATGCAAAGCATCCTTTCCCTGGTGAGAAGCCAGCGGAGTGCCATCAAAAGCTGGCAGGGGTCGCAGACGCGGAACCTGAGTGTGTCCAAGCGTCAGCTTGCAGATAAAGCTTGTGCTGTGAGAGCGGGAATTAGCCCAATTTTTTGAAGGTCCCTCATCAAGCGTGTGGCTGAAATCTGCATTTTGTTCAGCAGCTGAGCTGGGAGACACGTTCGTCATCTTTCGTCGGACAAGCGTATACATGCCAAGCGGCCACAACGTGTGCATTGCATCGGCGGTAAGCACATTCCAGCTCAGCCTCACCCAGATTGCAAACAGCTCGTGTTGGGGGCTTGAAGGCTTGGCTGCATGCAGATGTTGTGAGTTTGGGGTCGCCGTCTTCCTGTCAAAGGCTCCAAACGCTTTTCCAAGGTCGGTCCTCCTGGTTCAACAATAACGGCAACAGCTGCTCCAGATCTTCGGGTCCTCGGTGCAGCTTGTGGGGTTGCTTGCATGTCAAAGTTCACTGGACTATTCCAGCATGAACGTAAATTCAACAGTGATGTTCAATGAACTCTTGAACTGATCCAGGATGGACTCGCCGAGACATGTTCCAAATAGAGAAATCAGAAAGCTGCTTTCCTGAGCCAGCGGCCGTCCGTGTCCAAGAGCCGCACGCGAACCTCAGCCGAGCCACCGCGGCCAGCCAAAGTCGATGCAACACGCTTCCATCTGCCTTTATCACCCAGCGGAGCCAAATCCGAGGCATTGGCCTCCCATGGCCCTGAGCCCAGTGAAATCCCAAAGCTCTGCCACCGGGCCACCCACGGAGCCTCCAGCCGCAAGGACCGGGCCAATCCCCAAAGAGCTGCTGCAGCGGGGGAGCCCTCCAGGGGCAGGATCTTGGACTGCATTGCCAAACTGTGTGGACTGAAGAACTCCGAACGTATCTCAGCAGGACTTCATGCAGCACCTGTACTTTGTTCTTATAGTATATCGTATTGTAATCTTGAATCTTGTCTAGTTTTTGCGTATTACGTCACAGTATTTCATTCCGAAGACAAAGGTGCACCCCCTCGACGATTGGTGATGGTTGAGGTGTGAGGCTGCTTGCATCTTGCTTTAATTGTCAGGTCTGCTGACTTTCTGCTGGCCTCCCCAGGGATGCCAGCCAATGCACATCGCTGAGACACCACCTCCCATCACAGAGAAGCTGCTCCGACAGCCTTTAATAGAAGAATATAGAAGACAAACGTAAACCAAAATGGCATCTGGCACTTTCATTGGCTGACCCTCTGAAAATTCAGTTCGGTGCATGATTGGAAGGCTTCGCACACGGGAGCATGTGAGACACGTGCAACATCGCAAGCATGCACGCCATACCATAACAGCCCAACTTGCTAGAATTTCGTGGCGACGTTTAGCCGGACCGCTGCCCTGACACCTCAAATCCAGATAAAGCACCCCACTTAGTTGGCCATCCATCCTCACAGTCTCAAGCCTTAGCTTTAGCCCTCAACCGGTCGATCTGAAAAGCCTGCCAACACTACCCTCGAAACACGACAAGCTTCAACCTAGCCCCTGGCATTGGTCATCCCTCAGGAAAATGATTGCTTTTGCATGATTATAGTTATAACCAGATATGCACCCCAGCCAATGCGGAAAGTACTAGGTGGAGCGGAGCGGCCACGAGCTCTGCGCGCGCACGGCTGCGGCAGAGCCCAGCGCTGAGGGCTAGGAGCCTGCAAAGGCTGAGAGCTGGACATCGAACATCATCGAACGACACAGAATGCGGCAGCATCCCTGAGCCTAAGCCCCGGACAAACACGGCGGCTCCACCACAAGATTCACGAAACAGAGTGAAGGCAAATAAGCTGCCGGAGTAATTCTCGGTCACTGGCATTCAGCCCAAAGGCCCCGGCTCGAAAATCTCTTCAGCCAGCAGCCCTGCATCCGTCCCAGAGCGCCTTCAGAGTTCCGCTTCACATATGGAGGGTCTCCGGGTTCGAGGTGTTAGACTTCCTGTCGTGTCCCAGCAACATCTAACAGCCCTCACGGCACCGAGCCTCAGGAAGAGAACCAGCGAGGAACTGCGAGACTTCACCTCGAAAACATCTTCACCACGGCCGGTGGCCCAAGCATTCCGAACATTCTCACCGACGAGGCTTCAAAAGGGAGGCCTCGGCAGCCAGATTGGCAGGCAGGCTCCCGAAGTCCTGCAGGGCTTCGAGGGTTTTGGCACACTTGCGGTCTTCAGGCACGTTCAGTTTCAGCTTCACTTCCAGTCAACGTCTCCTGGAGAGGGGGGGTTCAGTTTAAGTTCAGTTTCAGTTTCAGTTCCAACTACTACTACTACTACTACTACTACTACTACTACTACTACTACTACTACTGCTGCTACTTCTCCTACTACTCCTACTCCTACTGCTCCTGCTGCTGCTGCTGCTGCTGCTGCTGCTACTACCGCTAGTACTGCTGCTATTTGGAGTAATGGTAGCGGAGGGGGGGATCTGGACGCGAGCTACCAGCTTCCGGCGGTTCAGACGTTCGTACAAACCAGATCCATTGGCGAAACATCAACTGCCGAAGCGACAACTTTTTGAGTTGTGACTCCTCCTCCGCTGATTCCACGGGGCTCCGGCGCCGAATGTCGCCTCAAGAACGAATGCAGTCCAGACCCGCAGCCCTGATGGGTTCCTCCGTGCAAGCATACTCATTAGACCCTTCATGCTCAGGTGGTCTGAACGCTGATACTCCGTCACCCCTCAAGGGTCCCAGCTGCTGAGCAAACGCACATCTTTCAGGTCCGGCGGCAAGAGGGCCTAAGTCTTGGAACTGCGGTGCAAACCTAGTTAGGTCGTCGTAGAAAATGTGCCGAGCTGGGCAGCTGAAAGTGCCACATAGGCACGACGTGTATGATTCCAAAGTAGAGAAGTTCACCCAAGCAGAAGTGTCAACAGTCCCTGAACAACAACTACTTTGTGCAGCCTTGAAGCCACGATCAACCTGTCGCTGTCTTTCAGAGGCGGTGGCTTCTCCTTCCGAGGCTCGCCCGCAGCTCACACACAATCTCATGTGCTAAGTGGTCTCAGACATATGCCTGGGGGCTTAATTAAGGACCAGACCTGCGTGATGCAGGACGGAGCCCACGGCGTTCAAGTCACGGCGATGTCGCCGATGGCAAGATACAAGAGGCCGACTGCGATTTGATGTGACCCCCCCCAACGATTCTACCCGCCCTGCGCAAGCCAACTCCGTTGCTCCCCTCTAGGCGGAGCTAAGCTCCAAGCAAGATGCCTCAACCGCTCGCCACTCCGTCCATTGCACATCGAAGAGCTTCCCGTCTAGCACCGCCGGAGCGGCCTGGCACAAGGGCAGACTCCGAGCTGCAGGAGTGTACAGGTGCGGGTCTAGACCTGCCGAAAGGGGATGCCGAGGTGTTCAGATCCCTGTACCGGAATTTTGTCCCGCAGAAGGTCCCACGAAGTCGACATGGAAAGTGATACAATATCCGACAACCATTGGCCCCAGCAATCGCAACGGATAATTCTGACGCCTTCCACGGGAACGGCAGGGATCGAAGCTGCAGTCGCCTTGTGAAGATGCTTGCGAGGAAAGTGGGCAGAGCCTAAGCTGGTTGATGGATGTCTCTGCACAACCGGAACCTATCAGTCGCTTCAGATTCTCAATGTCACGCTTCAAGATCAGCTTGCCGACCATCATTGTACCTCTGCAGCTCCGAAGCCCCGCCTGGCTGGAGGCGCGGAAGCCCCAGTCCGCACAATCACATGCGCGTTTGTACCTGTCCAGTCTGGCCAGAGCCCAGTCGTCGCTAATGTTAGGCAGGCATGACAATGAAAACCTCGACCGTGCAAGCCCTGGATATGAAGCGAACTGTCGGCCTCCAAATCCAAAGGACGATGCTCCTCGCTCTCGCCGGGCCGCTACCGCTTCTGAGGCAAACCTGAGGTTGTAAGGCAAGGAAATGGGAAATGGCGAGCATCTTCACGATCGGATATGCAGCTTGCATGCTGCAAGAAGGATCTTGGAATCTCAACCCCAAAGCCGCGTTAAGCGGTCAACCTTATAAGTTTGCCGAGCGGCACCAAGCAGCCAGAACTGTCCGCACAGCGCGGGTCGAAGTGCGTGTTCATCACCTGGTGAAGGTCTTGGATGTGGGCTTGAGGGCATTCTCCTCCCGTTGTAGAGCTGGCGATCGGGACGTAGCAGTTTCGGATCGCACATGATTTGCATCCTCATGGACTCTACCGGTTGTCGGCCTTCTGTTCAAGGCAAGACTGTCGGCCGGAAGCAGATGGGGCTGAAAGGATCTACATGTTCATACTCGGGGCTCAAGGGTCTGAGTCACTGCCCAAGTGTACCTTTACATCCTCAGAAATCGGAATGAACCGTGAAGACCTCTAGCTTCGGTGTCCTCTGGGGAGCATTCCCCGCCGGCCTGGAGATGATTCGACGGCGCCGCACATGGTGCGAAGAGTCGCAATAGGCTGGCCACCTGAAGTCTCTAGTCTCGAGTTGCTGTCCGTCCTAGACATGCGAAAACTGTCATCTTGCGGTTGCAACAACGTCAACCTCGGTCCTCTAACTAGCTCCGGTGGCGCAACAAGAAGGCTACATACTCAGCACTGAAAACCGAGTAGTCCAAAGTCCAAGGCCTTACGCCCTCTCCGCGGGCCAAGCCCGGGACTCCTGCCAAGGCCTCGCCATGTCCGAGCCCTGTCTTCGAGGAGCTGAGAAGCCTTGACGTGACTCGGAGCACTCTGAAAATGACGCTCCATGGTTGAGGGGATTTGCGAGGGACATGGCGCTGATGCTGGTTCTCTCCAGGCCTGGGGACCTGCGCATCGGGAGTACGCTGCAAAAATGTGTATTGCCTCGTACCGCACGGAGTTGGCGGGCAGGCGATGATAGAAAGACGCGGAAAAACATACCGTTCGCTTCCAACTTGGTGTCTCTGAAGATCCCTGAAGAGAGACCTTCTGCTGCACCCACATGCACTTCCACCGCGACATGGCCACGCACGGCATCAGAACCTCCCCACGGCTTGGTGCGGTGTCTCCCGACGTTCCATGCCCTCTTGACCCGAGTGAATTGGGAGCCGGCACAGGCCCTGCTCGCAACCTGAACACCCGGTGGAGCGCTCCCACCTCGCAGATCCGCTTCACTCCGCACTTCGTTTTGCTTCAAACCCGCGATGCGCACTCAATCCAGAAAATGCTGATCCTTCTACGCAAGCCGTATCGGGCTCTGCGCTGCAAGGCCTCGATCGGATCTCCCAAGGCGGTGCCGGTGCCATGGCACCTGAAGTGGGATCTCAACAGATCTTCAGACTGAAGCTCTGGTCCCACCGCGGATCATGCCTTTGGCATTTGGAACCGAAAAAAAGAGCTGTTCCGGTGGAGATCTCGCTGTTCATGTTCTCTGAACTCGAGGCTTCACATAACTTATTCCCTTGAAAGAGTTCTGCGAGGCTCTGTCCGTAGGCTCTGTCCCTTCCCCCCACAATTCGGCTCAGCGAGCGCCCGGCTCCACGATGCTCGGCGCGGCAGAACGACTGCAGGCTGCCAGGGCGGCAAGGAGCATCTGCGAAGCGACGGGGTGGAGGCTTTATGGAATGTATCCGGACTTATCCGGTGGATGGGATGGTTGGATAGGATATATAGTTCTGTCTAATCTCCCAGCCAATTTTGATGCGTTGGGTGGGGACGGTGGATGCACAGGGTAGCTTCGTGGAACCTCTGTGGTTTTACTGCAACGTCTACTACCTGTTTGAGCCATCCCTGAACATTTATCCGGCCTCCTCTTGTGCCCGGCCACTGGGTGCTGTGAAGCTCGCACTGCGACCATCGCTGTTCACAGCGCTGCCGAGCAAGTGCCCTGAGAAAAGGGTTCTATCCATGCAGGCAACGATTTCCGATACATGACGTACAGTACAGTCTGTCTGGGCTTTTCTGTTTTCAGACGAGGAGTGAGCGCCTTGTTTGTCGATCAGCGCGCGAAAGCGGCCTAATGTACTAGTTAAACCTTGCGAACCCCTGCGATTTCCGCAGCTCATCACGTCGACTGGACGGACCGGTTTCCCAGCTACGTATCACTTCCACTCTCAGGGCTCGGTCTCAAGTTTGGGTATTTAAATGTATTTAATTTGACGAATGCACCCAGGCCAGTGCATGCGCGGCGGGTTGGCGAAGGGCGAAGGGTCTCGCGTTTTCGAGCTGGGGACCGCTCTAATGGAGGCAATCACACCGTGCCCAAATTGGCAGGACCCGGCGTCCGTCACAAAAAAACGACCGCTCGCGTGAGTCAAGCATTGCTCACAATCGAGTCTGCATGGAACTCGGCTCCACGAATGCCCCAACCCTAGAAATTGTGTTTGGGAGGCAAACCCTGTCTTAACTTGCGCCCGACCTAGAGGATTTTGTTACCTGCAGCAGAACAGAAGTGCTGCAAAGTATGCAGAGGATACTTGGCACGAAATGCAAGCCAATTCTTGAATACATTCTAGCATGGTCATTAAATCATGGAGCCTGACCAGTACAACGCATCGATATGTATGGAGAAGGCTAAGAACATCAAAAACACCGATCATTATCATGCCATTCCTCTGCGAACCTGTGACACAGGCAGGCGCCTTCTGCATGTCTGGCTTCATCTGCCGACCTCAAGTCTTGCAAGTGCAATCCAGTCCCTATGCGCTGCGGGCACCCGTTCTCCAAGGGTCTGCTAAAGCACGCGGGGCAAACCGGCAATTCGAGGGGTGAAGTCGCGGACCGAGTTCTGGGTTCACGCCCTTCATATGTACCATGCCTAAAGTCTGTGTCAAGAAAGAAGAGGCTTCGCAAGGCCGTCCCGACCGAACTGTCAGGGTGGCTGAGCTGCACGAGAGGGGCTTGCAGCACTACGCAGGCTTGTTCAAAACTTTCTTTGGTCAACCAAGGTCTACCAATGACCAGAGATGACGGTGGCAATCCGTGAATCCTAATGGTCCCCACTTACTCTTTGCAATCGATTGCAGAAGGGCAGAGTCCCGGCGGGGGCTCCAGCTCTAAGCCAACACTTCTCTAAAGTTGGCAGAGCACTCTCTGAGCTGCCATGAGCTGCCGGGTGCGGCTAGCAGCCAGCCGGCCTTCATGTCAAGCCTTTGCGAAGGGACATTCCTTCGTTTCTTAGAATTTTCCGAAGCTTCGCTCGACCCCAGGGGCCGCGGGAACGTGGAAGTGTGAAGAATCCCGCTGGCACCGCATAAATCTAAGCCACGGCACAGCTGGAGTGCTGCGATGCCCTCACCACGCACGTAGCCCTCTGCAGTGGCATTGAAGGTGAAGCAGCGGCCGGCGCGTGAGAGCCTCGAGTCAACGTAGAGGTGCCCAAGGCCGCAAACGAGAATCCCGTAGCTGTTGAGATAAGTAAGCTCCGAATCAGAAGCACAGCTGCACAGCAAAGTCCCTCAGATGCTGGCATCTGCGCGAGGCTGTACAGCACAAAGACCTTCCAGACAAATCGGGACTGATTGGCAGCAGCAGGTCAACAAGAAGCATGGGAGTAGGAAGTAGGAGACAACGGGACCGAACCCTGCAGCAACTTGTTGTGAATTAGCAGGACGGTGCGTGTGTCCGTAGCCAGTGAGCAACGCTCGTGCACCTAAAGACGCGAAAAAGAAAGAAGTGTCGATTGAACCAACCAAGTATATGTAGGTCAAGAACAAACGAACACGAGAGCTTGTTCAAGGATGCCGAACCTTAACTGGCCAACGAAAGAAGCAACTATTTCAGGGTGACAGAGGAGCTTATGAGCCTCACGCCGCAAACAGCACCCCGCAAAGGTGTGTGCTTGTGACATGGAAGGGTCACTGCGCATAGATTATGCGGCTGAAAGGAGGGAATCACTGTTCATAACACTACAGCAGGTACTACGCAACGGGCATTCCCTACCACACAGCTACAGGCTGATGAAACTACTGAGTGTTGAAATGAGGCTGATCTACCCAGGGCGAAGCAGCCATCAGTATGACGCCCTTCCAGTGATCTGACAGCCTGTCGTCCGATCCAACCGGCGTGTGCGCGCTGTTACATGCCAGCATCTTGATGCGGACGGGTACGCTGTCAGCTCAGGCGTCATTCCAAGCTCCAATACTGCGCAAACAGGGTGTGGAGTGCAATACTTGTCGGACCCACAAATGGACGACTCCGATTGCGAGACAATGGTGCCTCTTGCAAATACCATGTTGCCGTCGTCAGATCTAGTCGGCATTTCTGTGCCGTAAGCACCGCTTTGGTTTGGCAACACTGTCTTCATCCTCCGAGGTTGAGAGGATGGCTCTAGAGCCGGGAAATGTTTCTTTTTAACCTATCCCGCGTTGTTACCCACTACGGCCGCGTTCCGTTGCTTTTGAGCCGTGTTATCCCCATATTCCATTCTGCGTCGAACCACACCGTAAATCTTTGCATCTCCGCGTCTTGGTGGCATGTGCGCTTCATAAGAGGCCGGTTTCATGTCGTTCACAGAAGATCTGGCAGTGTTTCAATTTTTTTTGTAGTCTGCTGGAGGGACCAATACAAGGAACCGTTCGGTGTAGGCACTGCAAAAGTACGCAAATCACTCTTTTCATTTGTTAGATCCATATTCTGGGAGTTCCATTCCCGAAGCCAGAATTGTTTCGTTTCGTAGGCCCAGAAACGGGGTCGTCCGCAGGATTTCTGGGCCAATCGAAGTTCTGTCGAGGATTGGCCAAGATATTTGGAGTCAGCAACAGAGAATGGCTCGCAAGATCATCTGAGCTTGATGAAGCCTTGTCCTGGCTCCAGCACGTGGGCTTGGAACAAACGTGCTTTGAAGCCACATGAGCACAAACGTGTGGTTTTTTGAAGCCACATGAAGGCCACTTAACGCGTGGTTTTCAAACCACATCAATGTGTGGTTTGCAGGCCACATCATCTGGGCGGTCACCGAGTCGCATTTTGGCGAGGAGTCCCGGGTCCCACCGGACCCATCCAAGTCCACCTTCTGCGTCAACCGAATCCCGCTTTTTGCTGGCCGGATCTTATCCGGCTGTCACAGGGTCCGTTTCCCCCATTCAGGTCCCATCTGGGTCCACCCGGGTCCCATTTTACCAGGGCCGGGTCCCACACCCGTTTAGATTTTAAAAGTTCATGTCCCAAACGATGTCAGCACTTTTTCAGTGCAAGCAAGCAAAATCAAAGCATGTTCTCGTGAAGCTCGCACTGCTTCAGCAGTTTGCCGTGTTGCTTTCCGAAGATGGAGTAACGACATGGAGAAGATTCGCATGCTCCTGCGCAAGGATGACACGCACAAATCGAGAAGTGAACGTGAAACACAAGACAGCAGGGACAGCTGCAAGCTGCAGGAACTGCAAGACAGAAGAGTGCAGAGACTACGGTGAGATTGTAAGCTTCAGGATGCTTCAGGAACCAGAGAAACTCAAGACGGCAGAGACCATGTCGGAAGGCTTCCGAGTGCCTCGGAACCCCACGAGGGAGGCTTTAGAGGCTTCAGTCTCTGTCTGGCAACCCCACAAATGACGGTTGGAGAGGCTTTGCACTGTTGGTGAAACTCGCAAGCTGCGCGACTCCAAATGTAGGGCTGAAAAGTCCAGCAATTGGGTTCGCTTGAGCGGGCCTCCCCCCCAGATGGGTGCCGGCTGTCTGTTGATTTTGAAGGATGTTTGAGTCCGGTGGTGTGTCTGGGGTGCCTTGCGGCCAGATTTTATATCTTGAAGTTTCAGAGTTCTGAGATGATTCGCCGACCTCTGAAGGCTTCAACTTCTACTGAACCCCGACCCCAAATGCAGATCTCTAAGTAAACACAACACACCCTCCTTAACCTGCAAGGCACAAGGGAAGGGACTGACACGAGACTACATCAAAATGAAAGTGCGCATAGCAGTCGAACCTGGGGCGCAATCAGCAGGTTGGCGGCCACCACGAGTGCAGACGCAACGTCTGACATGCGGGCAGTGCCATCTGAGTGTTGTCCCGAAGCAACCGTTCAACAAGATTTGTTCCGGGTGTCAGCCCCCAACTTGCAACCTTGAAAACTGAAACCATACATATCTTACAATGGCACCTGGAAGGTACCTGCATGCTGCATCCACGGCCACTAGCGCAGTGGAACAGGCCGTGTCCACCTCGGTGCTAGCTGCTAGCATGTCAGGGCATGGATCACATCAAGGTTTGAGATCTGCACTCAAGCAAACAAAGCAGAAGAGGTCTCGGGAGCGCATCCCCGGGTCCTAGCCATTGATTGACTCAATACCTTTGCTCTTCTTCGAAAGATTCAAGGTACTTCCTCCTCCCTGTCGATGGGGGCTATATCAGATCAGTTCTCCATTCCAGCTTGGACTTCACCGGGCGCTGGACGACAAAGCTGGGACCGCGCAGGGCAAAGTTGTAGGAGATCCTGCATGGTGCCAGGGTCCGGGGTGGGACTTTGGGCACGCACCAACGGACCAATAGATCGATGTCACTTCCGGGTATTTGATCTCAAAAACTGCTTGCGGGATCTTTCCGGAACCATTTCCATGAGCGACCATGTCCAGTAAGCGTATCTTCTATGGCATCCATATTCACGCGTCGGAGCCTGTTGGCCAAGACTGCTCCGTTGATGGCAAGGCCACCATATACCGAGGTGTAGGCTGCAGGCTCCTGGCAGATCGGCTTCGACTTGATGAGAATCATGAGGAGGCTCATGGTCAGGTTTCTAGGCTGAATGCTGCAAGTAGTGGGCAGGTCGACAGTGTTACAGCCCGCGTTGTCAGACTCAAAACAGCTCGGAAGTGGTCCCAGGTCGGTGCTGTTTCATGATTTCCTAACCAGTGCCCCTGTCAGACCATGGCCTTGTTGGTACCAACAGACCTTATCGACAAACCGTCCAGACCAAGGGGTTCGGATTCCGGAATAGCTTCCGGCCTGGAGGAGCATCCAGTCGTGCTGAGTGCTACCGACCACCACAGCGATGTCCGGACCGCCTTCAAAAGCTCGGGGGACAAAGGTATGCTTCCTCCCTCCTCTTTCTAGCGGAAGCCTGACCCCTTCGAAGTGCCCGAGCCTTGTGGCGGGAGGTGCAAGGCTTCGGCCGCCACCTCTGCATCCAAAACCCGCTTTGCCCTTTGGCTTTAGGGACTTCGGCTGCACTTTGAGACGTCTACGCCCCTCCTCCAGGACCTGCCGCTGAGCCGGGCCCATCCCTGCCGCCTTGAAAACAGGCTCACAGGCAGGGTCTTTCTGCGGTGTTTTTCTGGACTCTCATTGGTGACGTGCTAGAAAACCCTGACTCTCGGCCCACCCGCTCATCCGATGTACTCGGCTGCCGTGCTGTAGGCTCTGGAAGTATCTTGCGGACCTCTACAGGCTTGAGACCTGCACTCCCCAATTTCTGCGGCGTATCCGATGCATCCTTGCTCAGCACTTTGACACAACGGCGTGATATGTGAAGCATCGAGAGTATAGGAACATCTGCAGTCGGCAGTTCTGCTTTGCAGACATGCACAGCGTATTCAAAACCCCGCAAACTGAAAAAGCGGACCCATCGAGAACTCCGCCACACCACTCACGATTTTTTCGAGAGGCATAAACGCTAGAAAGTCCGGCCCAGCACCGGCCGGGGTTGAGGACATGGTGTGAAAGCCGCATCTAAATCGTAACTCCAAAGAACCGTGGCGTAAGACTCGTAAGAAAGAATTCACAGGAAGACCTGAAACGTTGCAGTTATCCAATTATCCCACCTCCGAGGCCGACAGGCCGAAGTGATCGGCGTCAAAGAGCTCCAGGCCATCAATGAAGCTGCCATGCCTGCGTCGGAAGGGGCGGCTCACCCAAATCTTGAAGGGTTCGTTCGGCATCCGGTCCAGGTCTCAAATACTGGGACTGGCTGAAGGTCTGAGCGGTCAGGGTCCTTCCTCGAGTCCCTCCCCCGCTTTATGCCCGCACAGTGCGTCGCATGGACCCCGGCACAGAACCGCCGAACTGCGGACATCAGACTCATGTCAAGGCATTGCACACAACAGGCTGCTTCTATTCCGCGCCAGTCAGTGCTCCAGTTGGAAAACAATCGGCAGGAGAGGTGTGTTGCAAGAACACCACCCACAACAAGTTCCACACCACACAGCACGAAGCCCGGAATCCACGGCAGCAGGCCTGCTGTAGCTGCGAGACGGATCCTTCCAACCAGAGCAGTGCAAGGGCGAGTCAAGGGCGAGCTGGGAGGACATCGGCTTCTGTCGGACATCGGTCTTTCTCTGCAGCGGCTGTCCTTTAAAACTTTAGAGAGATGGAAAGAGGAATGGACATCTAGAACCTGGACGCACACCCTCCACTCCGCAGCACGTCCACGACTGCTGTTCTTGCAGCGCTTGTTCGAGATACGTGATTTTGGCTTCGGGCCCTTCTCCGGGCAAAATAGCCCTTGATGGCAGGATTATGGTGATTACAGTTGGGACTGCACTGACGTCAGCGAGTGAGTAGCATACTTGCAGCTACTAGCATCATGTACTTACTATGTTGTCGCAACAAGTTGCGACCAGACTGCGAAGAGTCTACAGCAGTGGGAACTGGTACTTGGCCCGTGCAGTCCTCTCCAAAGTACGCGCTCATGTCCCAGCGCTCAATGGGTACTTGATGCACCTCGAGTTGGCAAGGACTTGAGGGCTTCCGGGGCAAGATTTGGGCTTCGATGGACTGCAGGGCGGGATTTGCCAAATCCTGCAGCTGACACACAGAAGGTGAGGAACAGGCACCCCTGCAAATTCTGGATATGGGACTTAATGTCATGAGCTCCAATCCAGCTGCCCTCAGACAGAAATCGCCAATCTGTAATCAATGCAATGGAACCTTTCAAAGTCCCACAAACCGAAGCCGAGATGGCTTAACTGCAAAGCTTCCATCACGCCGGGACCCGAGCTGCATCTTGACCCCGCACTTGGATACAAGATGCCGCGCGCAAAACGGATTGGCCTCGACAGCATACACCGGCACTGCGCACAATCCCGCTCACACGAGGAGGAGGAGGTGGAGGTGAAGGTGGAGAAGCTGCAGGTTTGAGAAAGTGGAGGCAGGTCCAAGCGTCCGACCGATCCCCGGTGATCGAGTCGGTCGAGCAGGCGCTGCTGCCGGAAGCACCTTGCAGGAGCAGACGGGAATTTTTCACTCGGCCAATAGGACGAGATTTGAGTGACTTGGACTTGAGCAGGCGGCTTTTCCCTGTGCGATCGGTATGTAGACTGTCTCGGACTGGCAAGTGCGTTGGTTGTGTTGAGATGTGCTGAGCACACTATGTTCTCCATGGATGCTTTGGCATTGTTGCATGAGTTGTCTCCAAGATGATGCCTGCTCTGCGATTTGCAGCACATGTGTTTTCTGGGAGCGTCCTCAGACGAGACCTTCTTGCCAGAGGCATACCATGGCATGCTTCCAGACTGGCCTACAATCTGATGAAAGGCCTGGACAACACTTCGCCCAGCCTCTGGCACAGCTCCCGGTCCCGCGGCGGCTGGATCCTTCAGCCGGAGGACTTTTGGAGAAATCAAGGAGCTTCTAGTTTGGGAAACTCCCGCTAAGGGCTCTCCAACTAATGCTGGGAATGAACATTGTAAGCTCCCAAAATGCCCGAAGGCTAGGATATTGAGAATGCCCCTGGGCAGCCCACCATGCGTGACTTCAGAAAGGATGCGAGGCTGGACGCCGTCGGGTAGTCGAAGACCATCCTGTGAGCACGTCTTTCAAATCTCCCTGACCCGCTCCAAATGCTCCCTGCTTCAGCGCCGATGCTGTAAGAGTTCTTTCACTCGATGCATCATATTGAAATGCAAACCTGCTGAGGCGAGGTCGTGGCTGGCAGGCCAGGCATGCACAAGGCCCTGCAGGAGCGGAGTCTACTGGAATGGGTGTTTAGGGGAATTGGGTGGCACCTGCTGAGACGGTTTCGGAGCTCCACGGCAGCCAGAGAATCCAGGCCTTGCCTTTACAGGATGGGCAAGCGAGGCTGTGAGCAATCAACTCCTTCTCAGAGCAAGGGCCGTTGCTGGGATTCAGCTGGGCTCGATTCTGGGAGCTGTGGGTGCACGAGATCTAGGTTTAGGTCCTTGAGCGCGATACCTCTCACCCGAAGTGTCACTTCTGCGCGTTGGAAGAAGCTCCTTAAGCCCTCAAATGCCCCATCTTCGTCAGAAGGTTTGACTTCGGACTGCGCAACTCTATCCGTTCGGTGGGCATCATGTATGACTCCGGAAGACTTGCCTCGGAAGATACATTCAGGAACACTGAACAGTGCTGATATTCAGCAGCCCTCAGCCCTCTGCCCGACTTCTTCCCGACACTCCTGGGCATGCGGCTCCATGAGAGGTGCATCAGCACATGGCAACGTTACGCGGAGATCAAGGAGAGCAGCACGAAGAAGTGCCTGGCGGCTTTGAGGCTTCAGAGGCTTGAGGAGGCTTGACAAGGGTTGAGGGGCTTCAGGCTTCTGTGAAGTCCGTGGTGCCGGTGATGTTGTTTCGGTCAGGCCCAACCAGGTCTCCTCCCCTTACTAAGCCTTGCTCTTCGAAGACGATGTTGGACTTCAGATCCTCAAAGCGGTGAAGTTCTGCTGCGATGCCTCCACTTCCGCCTTCCCAGGAGCCGGAGATGCCGGCCGAGGAGAGCTCTCAAACTCCTGGCTGAGGCAAAGAGGGTTTTGCTGACTGCCCGCACTCACTATACTCACTATACTCAGCATACTATACCTCCACCACTTCCGTTCATGAAACCTGGAACCCCGGCCGATCCCAAAGCACAGCCTGGCGCACGTGTTGCCGGCATACCATCACTGGGATCCCCCGCCACCAGAGCCGAAGGTACCTTCGGGAGCTGGCGCCTAAGTGTCAGGGAGACCGCAATATACCGCAATGCAGTAGTAATAAGGGATAAAACTACACATTCCCTCTCAGTGCAACAAGAAGACCGAGACTGTCGTGCTGGCTTTGCATGCGTCCTCCTTCTGGTATGCTCTTATACTGGTCTGTGTCCCAAGATGCTTGCCGTTCTGGGCTGAGAGTATGCCATTTCTGGAAGAGTCAAGGGTTTGAAGCTCGGAAACACTAAACCGCGCCCAGGCACAGGTAGCGCGCCCAGTTGACTGCAGCTGCCGCAACCACCTCGACCCAAGGAATACGACTTCAGGGCTTCTCCCTCTGCCAGGAGGGAGCTGGAAGTGAAAACGCTTGCGCAGGTGACGAATTCGTCTCCAGAGCTTGGCTTTGGGCTTTGGGCTCCAGGCAATCTTGAGCAACATCATCAACAGTTCAACAGTGCAACTAGCAGTAGCAGGGTCTTGCTACCAAATGGTTTGGAATAGAGCAAAGTTCAGCTTCTGTGTCTTGATCGTCGTCCCGTGTGCGAACCCTCAATTTCCAACTGAAGGGCACCTCTTGTAAGTCGATGCAATCAGTAGGCCAGTAGGCTCGACACCGGTCCAGGCGTTTGCAAGGAGAGGCAGGCGGACAGCCTCAGAGCCCAGGCTTTTCGCCGGACGTTGGCGTCCCTCGTCTTGGTATGGCACTCCATGTTCGGGACAGAAGGATCCAAACCCTCCAACTCCATCCGAACTCCCAGAACGTTCAGGCCTCTTCCACAAACAAGCACATGCCACCAGCATCCCAGCACAAACAGAGAATCACACGCAGACATCCTTTACCTCAGGCCCCGTGGTCAGGCCAGGTCGCAACTGCATGGCCAGATGCGGCGGTAGCGGCTGCCAGCCATAAGCCTCCGCGCAAGTTGCTGCTACTTCACGGCGCAACGATGTGATGCCTCCAAATGCGTTGGGCGGATGCCTTCGGATGCCTCTTCAGCTCTGAAAAGCATTCAGTGTGTCAGCCAACCCGGTGCCTGCTGCCTCTCCAAAGTTTCGGTGGCCGCTGCCATGCCCACCTGCACAGAGGGGATTCGGTGCGTAGAAACAACCTGAGGACTGCGTCGCGGCTGTCAGGATTTGGAACATGCGGCAGATCTCGTTCCCGAACTGGGCCCTAGATGTGCTCCTGTCTTGCAGGCCTCTGCCCAAGGACCCCACTGGATCGCCAGGGCCTGGGAGGCGCCCCAAGCCTGTCCAATGAAGGCCGTGAAAGCAAACGCACAGTAGCTTCCCCTTTCACGTAGGTACAATACCACTATTGTCCACGCTTGGCATTGTAAGCTGAGACCTCTGAGGACTCAAAGTTCGTTGCAGTTGGTAGAGTGTTGCCTCGGAGACTGGAACTCTCTGCTCGATGAGAAACCTTTGACTTTACCTGAAATCCTGACTCCAGCATGCCATGGTTACCGTTATGGTTCTCGTAGTGTAGTGCAGCTCATGCAGGTGTCAAGTGTTAGTCTTGTTGAGGCCGCGGAGCGCTTGCTTGTCGGCTTCGGCTTCTGCCAAACTTGCGTTGACACGGCGACGGCCCAAACACTGGAAATCGACTGCGATCGTCTCTGAAGGCCCAAAAGACCCGCCAGAGAAGAGCCGTCTCTTCCAAAGATGGTGCTGAATCGAAAAAAGGCTGCTTGTTCAAGCAACTCCCACACATCGTCTCTCCACAGTTCCGCGAGCTTCCAGAAATTAAAAAGCGTCTTTCGCTTGAATCTGCCGCAGAAATCAATGGCAAGGGCCATTGTCTTTCTCCGATCGGCCCATGCATCAAAGGCAAGGGCGATGTGTCGATCGGACGCAGTCAGTTTGAATACAGCGGACTTGCCAGGAGCCAAGCGTCTTTTGCGTGGCATTCTGCAAGTGCCGCGTTCAGTCTGGAACTGCTCGGAAGCAAGCAGTATTTGGGGCCCAAGTGTAGCTGTCCCGCTGAGTTGTTTCCACTGCTTCGTGTCGGCACTACATGTTCTTCAGGGTCATATAATCATGCACGTTCTTGCTCAATGGTTGAACCCCGCATACCAACTGTTTTCCTTCGGTTTCTGGCCCGCAGTCGACATCCTCGCTGCATAGCTGCGAGCGCCCATCAACCCACCTACGGCAGAATCTAGGCACCACACCACAGTCGCCACTGGGTTTGGCGAAGCACCGTTCTGCCACCGACGTCCGTCGTCAAGTTTTACCGGCCTTTGTGCGAGGTTCCAAGACAGCAGACCTGTCATACCAGTGCGACTATTCCGAAATCACGGGAACTTACGATGGTGAAGGTTATCTCCGCAACTGACTGTGCTGGTGGCTGAGGAGAGTGTGACACACATGTTGAGGTAAGCAGCTTCAATTGCTGCTTTCTCTTGGAACCTCGACTGTACGGACAACTTCATCCGCAAGCAATAGGAACAGTATGAACATTCGGCTCTCCGCCGAAAGCCGGGCTTGGCAGAAGCTGCCCGGGTTCCCCTCACCCCCGAACCCACGCGTCACAGGTCCGGGGATCCCTCCGAGTCGCCACAGCATCAATACTTTCGTGGCTGACGATTTCTTGAGTTGTAGTCTCTGCTCATACGAAACATGCTAGTGCTAGCATCTCAATTGTTGCTGCTGTTACTACGAGCCACTATTACTCATAACAATAATCATGGCAGCAGGACTACTTGTGATGACTCGATAAAAGCAAGCACAATCGTAATAGTATCAAGAAACAAGCAGCAATAAGAACACTATTGGTAGTCAAACATAAGACCACAAATATAATCTTAATAGGAACAACTATTCAATAAAAACAATAGTAACAGTAACAACTATAATAAAAACAATAATAACGATGATGATAACCATCATCATGATCATTATAACCATTGTCATCATCATCACCATTGTCATCAAAGTCACTAACCGACAAAATAACAACAACAGCAAGAAGGAGAATAGCAACTAAGAATAATCGGTACCAGCACCATTTCCTCCTCCTGCTCCACCACGTCCTGCTGCTCCTGCTGCCGCTGCTGCGGCGGCTGCTCCTGACCCTGCTGCCCCTGCTGCTCCTGCTGCTCCTGCTGCTCCTGCTGCTCCTGCTGCTCTTGCTGCTCCTGCTCCTCCTGCTCCTCCTCTCCTCCTGCTCCTCCTGGTGCTGCTACTGCTTCTGCGACTGTCGCTGCTGCTGCTGCTGCTGCTGCTGCTGCTGCTGCTGCTGCTGCTCCGCGAGTGGTACTGATGCTGCCAGTGCAAACTACTGCAAACACTGCTACAGCCAATGCTACTGCTGTATGTGGCGGCTGCTACCATGCTTTTGTCGAGCGCGATTCGAATCATGCATACTCTTCTCATCCTTGGCATGAACTCGATGACTGTCACTGTTCTCTCTCGCATGCTGTCAGCAGTCATCTTTCTTCGTGTGTTAAACGACTCGAAGGCATCCGTGAAGTGGGCCTGGACTCGAGTCTCAATCTAGGAGGAGCTTCGAGTTTGGCGTCCCGAACTTGAGTTATCAACAACATGTAAACAGAAGCAGCGAACGTCTCAGCCTTGGGCGGAAGTGTGCATGCATTTCGTCAACTACGGTATGCCAGCTTTTGAGCATTCGCTGCATAGGGCTGAAGTGTGCAATCGAATTTCACACTAACTGCGTGAAGTTTGCCGCGGCAAGCGCGAATTGCAAAAGGCTGATCGGGTCGGGATCAAGCGCGGAGCGAATCTTTACCGTTGCAACGTGCACAGACCCGGGGTCCTGCTGTGATATCATAATGCCCCACCGACCCCATGCAGGAAAATCAGTCTAGTTAGGTTAGCTAAAAGCTTCAAACGCAGCTGCTGCCAAGTTCTATGCAGGTCTCATAGGAGCCTAGCCTGCAGACACACAACCTCTCGAGTAAAACCATTCTCTGGATGTCGATGGTCCTTGAGCTGCCGTCATCTGTCGAGGATGCGAAATTCGTGGCCTGCGTGTGGCTCCCATAGATACAGCCGACGAGAACCATGCGCTTGCCTTTGCCGATGCTCAGTCCACCGAGCTCCAGCAAATCACCAGGTCTGGAAATAGCGAAGCACCCCGAAAAGCTGAGGAAATTAAAGTGATTCAATATCTCACCAGAGAGGCCTGTTGATAGACATGGAAAGGCAGCGTGTCCACCTTGGGACCTAATTCCTGTACACTACAGTCGCCGCTGTGGCCAGGGGCTTCGATGCGTTCGGGAAACCGAGTGCTCAAGGCGAGATGTAAATGTGATTTTTCATTCGCGTAACGATGTGTCTATGTAGTGCTTCAAGGCTCTCAATTGTGTGGATCTTGCCTTCTCGTGTCAGGTAACCTGCAATCCCGAGCGATCGACAGCGGAGGGCAATGTACCTCCGGCCCTAACCAGGTACCGCTCAGACAAGGACAGAGCTGCATGAGTGCTGCATGTTGGCCGCGAACGCATGGGAACGCTGTTTGACTTCTGCAGGCGACTAAACCCAGAAGATCCAGGAAATGTCAGGAAAACCTGAGAATCAGTAGCTACCGCTACGCTAGAAACTCGAAGACTCCTCCTTGACCTTGCAGCATCGTACGGGGCGGCGCGCCCGTATCATTCAACTACCAGAGGATCCGAGCATAGCCTGGGCTTGCGGGCAGTATTTGGCTTCTTCATGAGTGCTCGGGCCTTCTATGGGATGGCATCCAGCAATTTGTCTGGCTCATGGCAGCTGAATCATGGAGCCCCGAGGCTTTTGCAGGGGCAGTTTGGCCCTGTAGCCCGCGCACCGAAGACCTTTCGAAAGATGCCTGCATGTAAGTAGTCCTCCTCTGCCTCTAAACTCTAGACGCTCTAGGCTTTAGACCTCTGTATTGATTGGAGAGATCCAACGTCCGAAACTGAAGTCGAAGTGCCTGCAGAAAACAGCCCAGGAAGCTCTTGTCACCGAGGCCGAGGTGCTACGCCGAGGCCCAGTTGCCATCCCAGGGAGGCAACCGACCTCGCGGAAATCCCCCCTTTGGACCCGACCTTCGCTGCGAAACCAAGAACCTAAACTTAAATCCTGTATCAAAGCGGCGTATCTCGTCCTTCACGTCTAGCTGTCCGAAATACAAGCTTTCTTGGTTAACCGTCCCGACCCCCTATCAATCAGTCTCCGCATTCATGGCACGGACTCGCATGTCAAATGTGGAAGTCGTTATCCCCCAATACTTTGAAGTCGAATTTCGAATCGAGTCAACTTCAGTGCAGACTGGAAGCATGAACACCACGCGCAAGGCGGTGGGGATGACACCGAAGCTGATCCCCTTTCCATGCAGCGAAACAACGATCACGCAAGTTTGCAGCACCAGGTGTGTCCTCAGGGTTGGGGGGGAGGGGGGGCGCGCTGCGACTCTGCGGCTGTCATTAGTCAGGAGGTCTCTTGCAAAGTCTATGCACTGAAATGATACCAGGCCTGCATGGGGAGCCAGTAGCAATAGCAAAGCCTCAGCTACGCACGTGAACCAGGGGCGCAACTTCGAGATGAGGAGGCGGAGTTTGGCCACAGCCGAAGACAGCTTCCATGTATGTGCAAGCATTCAGTTGGACAGCATGGGGTAACACTCGGTAAATGCGCCGTCGAGACATGTGTTTCCCGATGGATTCAAGGAAGGGTTCCAATTCGGAGCTCCCGCTCCAAAACCCAGTTAATGTGACAAATGCTACAGGACACAGTGTATAAAGGCTATGTTGCGGAAAGGCCGCATGCACACAAGCGACATGATCCCCCCCCTCACATGACTGAGGCTGTCTGCGTCTCAGTGGTTTGAGGCTTCTTGGATCTACCTAAGAACGGATAACCCGGTAACCCGAGCCAGCAAGCGCGATATCGACTTTGTGCTGGGTCTCCAGTCTCTTAGTGGGCTTTGAGGGTCGGCCCTGCCCTGGCTCCTTGCTGCCGTGCTGAGTATCCCAACATCTCAACCCACCTGAAAACCGAACCACAAACCCTTGAATCCATCTCTTTGCTTCAAGCTTGCTGCCAGGCTTGTGCGAACCGAGCAGAGAGTAGGCCGGGAGCACTG